AGATGCCAAACCGAAGTTTAAAGGATGAACAACAACTGTTATGAAGACATCCAGAACTGAAACTGGAGGCTTCAGTCCCAAATGACCAAACACAATCACTTACGAAATCTGGCCAATGCACAAATGGTCAGTTTTGAGTGCGAACTGTTTTCTATGCTACACATTGTCAAAAGAGCTGAAAATTGGCAGTTAGATAGTTCATTCCAAATGGAACAACTTTCATGAAGGTCGGCAATCCAAATTCGGAACGAAAATTGGTCATCAAGACCAAAACAGATCTGACCAGAAAATGGTCATCTTCACGGCCAGGCCTTATTTGCTCGGCTATATCTCAGGTTTTATAAATCCGATTCATGAAATTCCAAGGGCGTTAGAAAGCTCTGATATAGAGCTATAAGTTTGGTGTTTTGGTCGCAAGCCCAAACAGCTTGTAACCCAGTCAAATGTGAAGCCAAAGTTCCAGTCATAAACTGTCCAAAAACGTAACAGAATTTGACGGTCAAAACAGGTCTGAGTATTTCGTTTATAGCTCAGGATATACTAATCCGTTTAACCTGAAAATTTACAGGGATATCCGGGACTTAAGGGGATACAATGTTGAAGAAGGAAACTTTGTCCAATTTTGAATGTAACAAGGTCAAAAATGCAAGACACTATACCAGAATTGCAAAACAGGATCACAAACCGTATTTGACCTTAATATGCGGTAATGGCACCAAATTCACTACGGTTATTGGATGGGGGTGTAAGACCCACCGTTTCGAAGCTAAGAAACAGGGTTACAATATTGGAGAAGGCCACTCAATCCAGTTCCTAGCACAACTAGGTCAAATGTGCCAAATACTAAACCAGATTCACCAAAACAGGTTTGCAAAACGCAGAAAACTGTAATCGATATAACTCAGTCCATACAAGTCCAAATGCCGAAATTCCAAAGGCATATGTTAGCTAAGACATCCAGTTACATTTCATCAGAAGACACCAACTTCAAAATCCAAACCAATTCCAGTCAAAATAGCCAAATACCAACGCAGTTTTCGCATTCTGATCAAAGCAGAACAGCTACAGTAATTTCGTCATAACTCACTCTACACTAATCCAAATACCCTGAAATTTTACAGGTACCTTATACACATCAATACCTACAACTTTCATTTTTTGAGCAAAGTCCAATTCGGCCTCTAACCCTATGATCCAAAACCGGACAGAATTGGGATTTTATAAACCCTAACTTTCCATTTTTCCATCCAAATCCATAATTGATTGCATTTATCAACAATTCACACCTACTAGAGTTATTATAGTCCATTTCCAATCATCATACAAGGCCACAACATCCCATTCATTTTAAACCAGAAAATTCATCATAAAATGGAAAACTTCACCAAAACTCTTCAAATCAAGAAATAAATCATATATTCTAACACTTATGCCACCATTAAGCACAAAATAACCATCATTAAGTATAAGGAAGTAGTAAAAAATCACTTACCTAAGAACAAGAGATGTAGAGAGGTGTTGGACACTTAGCTCTTCAAACAAACTTCACTACAACCCTTACTAGCACTAGAAGATAGGATTTTATGGAGTGAAATCTAGTCTAAGCTTTTGTTTATAGAAGATTGAAGCTTATGGAAGCTTGAAAGTTGGTGGAATTTCCTTCTTCTTTGCAAGGAGAGAGCCGGCCACAAGGAAGAGAAAAATGGTGAATTTTGGGCTTTTTTTTTTTATTTAATCCTTTGGTCAAAAAAGTCAAGAAAGTAAATAGTAATTCTTAAAGTCCAACCAATAGGAAAGTGACACTTGTCACCTCCATTAATGCCTTCTTATCTTTCTTTTCTCTCTCACATCAATCACTTCACACACACTACTTATCTCTTAACACCCGATAAATTTTACACAGTATCCGAAACTTAACCTTATTGGCCGAATTTTTCCGAACTTTTCGCACTAGTGGGTCCCATATCCGATGTACGTTCTTAATTTCTCAAAAACTAACTAATACTAGAAAAAGCATCTAAAAACTCTATTTACTCAATAAAAATTATCTGGGGAATTTTCTAATAAAGAAAATGTAGAAAAAACGGGTTTTCAATCTTAACCGGAACTTAGGGTTTAAATCTTAATCCCTACTTAGGGTTTTCGAAATACTCCCAAACCAAACGTTACCGCCCAAATAATAAATATCTCAACGTAGAACGAACTGGGGCCTCACACAGTTCGCACGTTATCAAAACAGACATAGCATGGTCAGAAGCAAAATTCAAAACGTAACACAATCCAGGGTTCAAAACAGGAGTGAGTGTTTTGGCTGTAACTCGGGCTACACTGATCCTTTTGATCTGAAATATTTTGTAGGTATATTCAGGACTTAAGAGGCTACAACTTTCATGTTTTGAGAAACTTCTGAATCAGCACGCAGCATAAAGAAAAACGGAACTGAAGTTCGGTTTTGTGGACTGCCCTGTTTTTCCAGATTTGCCGGTTTTGTACGTCGCAAACGCATGGTCCGTTCTATGATTGTTATGCAGGTTTTCTAGCTAAATGCACACCAAATACACACCCTAAACCGGCTCCTATGAAGGCTTCCAAAGATCCGAAATTGCACCATACAATTTCCACAAACTAACCACATATTATCTACACCTTCTAATTTAACTTCATATGCACTCATTAACTTAATCTAACCATTAGTGCAACAAACCCTAACCAAATTAACCCTAACCAAGCAATTACTCCTTACTTTAGCCTAGGGTTTCTTAACCCCAAATCAGTTTCTACCACCCATTCACCAAACAAATGAAATAAATCATCAAACACAACCATAACAAGTTCAATAACACAAGATTAAAGCTAACTAACATGTTTAACATGAAACCCTTATGAGGGTCCATATGGCCGAACCTCAAGGCCCAAATTTTCACCAAATTGATCCATAACAACAAGTGATAAACATAAGAGGCACCATAATCAATCACAACTAAGATCCTTTACCAAAAATAGCCACTAGTTCATCAATCAATAATCAACTTAAGTCTTCAAATAGACTTTCTTACCTCAAGATTAAGTATGTATGATGGCTAATGACCTTAAGCCAACTCCAAAGTGGATTCTTTATGCTTCAAAATGAAGATTTATGGAAGGAAATTGATTGAACTTTGCAAACTTCCCTTTGGTTTTCCTTCTCCTTCTCCACGGCTCACTCTCTCTCTTTGTCTCTAATTTGTTTGTTTTGTTTTGGTCATATAATGGCTTAGTTGTGACTCATGAATTAATATGTGGTGCAAACCCACTTAGGAGAGATATTTTTTTATGGCAACCAATCACACTAAAATCCATTATTTACTTCTTTATCCCTTGCACCTCAACTTAGTTTTTGTTCCACTCTTGCCCTCAAACATTTGGAACTCTTTCAATTAACTCCATAGGTTATAACTTAATCTAGTCCAAAACATGTAATCACACTTACTTGCTTCACTAATCACCTTCCTATCTTAATCACCTATACATAATCATACTTAATCCCACATAAAAGCAATTAAACAACAACCTTTTGTCAAGGGCAAAATTAGGGTTTTAAACCCAACTTAAACTTCTAATATATCATAACACTAAAGGTTTTTGCTAGCTTTTAGGGTTTTCTAACTTTTAAACTCACTTATCGATATAAATCAGATCAAATCCTATACTTACCTGTACCAAAACACACACTAGCATAACTAACTTTAATCACCACTCGAACTTATGATTAATACAAAAACTAGGGTTTCAATACTAACCCAACTTAGGATTTTCGAATTAGTCCCAAAACCTAATGTTACCGCACAAATAATGAATATAACCTAATATCAAACTCAAGAACTGACCGGGGTCTCACATCCCTCATTTCCTAACAATTTATATCGCACACCCTACTAGTTGGTCACATTACCAAAATGCACAAAAAAACCCTAACTTACACCATTCTTTTAGAAAAAACATAACTTGAGTTATAAATGTCAAAAATTCATACAACTTATCCTGTTAAAACTAGACTTGAAACACTAATAATCTTTAGAAGACATCTCAAGGAAATTCAGTTCATAAGTTGGTCCAAACTAAGCCGTAAGCTATACAACATTCCAATTTTGACTTGCACAGGGCAGAATTTTTCAGTCAACTTTGCAATTTTCTGGTATTTATAGAAATTGAATCAAACTCTAAATTTTATATCGTAGGAATTCCTATGAGTCTAGTTTCAAACTCAACAAACGGAACTGAATTCCGACTTTCCTATACGAAATTATAACCAATTTCCCAAAGCTGCGCAGAGCCTCTTGCGAAAATTTCTAGATTTTCTAACAACTTGAGAAAATTAAACTTTTCTTAACACCCCCTGGCTCAAATTCAACCATTAAAGCAACCAAGAATTTAACGCAAGTAAGTTCAAGTAAGAACTATAAGGACAAGTAAAATTTTGGGGCCTCACAAACTAGATCTAAGTCATTACTAAAAATTCCTTTTTCAGAAAATTTCACAATGAAAGGTTTTCTGTGGAAAAGCGATTGTCACGAGATAACAAATTCAATTCCAGTACAATTGAATTTGTTTCCATGTGTTATGTTTGACAACAATCACTCCCGATTCCTAGTAGAAAAAATCACACTCAAATAAGGTAGCTGGTTAACTGCTCGAAACATAAATAAAGCACATCATTTACTGATATATGGGGACCTTCCCAGGGCAAGGATTTACTCATAGCCAAACTATGTTTCATCACCTCTTAGCCTGAACCTTTGTGAGAGTTGCAGTTTCAGGCTAAGTGGTTAATGAATCGTTCAAACTTTAGCTGACAATTATGTAGTGTAATATACTAACAGCTTAACAAATCATACTCGCCAAAACAAAAGCAAGAAATTAAACTTACGAATTTGGCATCTAAAACACTTGACTACTAGATCAAAACTAGTCGCATTCAAAATAAAAAAAAACACATACTTTGACATTTCAAATACCCAGAGATGCGACGGTTTATTGGCCACATCCTTCCCAGTGTAGTCTGTTGGCAGATTTGGAAGGCAAGGAATAAAGCAATGTTTGAGGGTGTCCAGATGCGGTCTACTGCCATTTGTCACGCCATTTTCTCGGAGATCCAGTCCATAGGGGGGGTTCACTTCAAACACGTGTTTCGAGTGCAGTCATTTTGTCAGTTGTATGATTGGTCGAATTTGTTTGCTGGTGGGTTTACCTTTAAAGTTGTTCGCTGGGAGAAGAAGGAGACAGGGCGGCTCATACTTAATACAAATGGCTGTTCTAAGGGTAATCCAGGAGTGGGTGGAGGCGGTGGGGTTCTTCGGGATTCAACTGGCCTACCTCTGATTGCCTTTTTGGCCTACTTTGGGGAAACTACATGTCTCCGGGCAGGGGCTCGGGCCCTCCTTATTGGTCTTCAAACGTGTGTCCATAGGGGCTTTAGGAATCTTTGTGCAATTGGATTCATTGGTCTTAGTTGGGATTCTTCAGCGCCGCATTTAGTGTCCGTGGCAGATTCGACGAGAGGTTAGGAAGATTTGGCAGTTCGTTGAGGATCCGGCTCGATTTTCGCACTGTTATAGGGAGGCTAACAAAGTTGTTGATGCGTTGTCCAATGTGAGCGTATCTCATCCTGAGCAGCAAGTCAAGGTATATGAGTGCTTTAGTACGTTACCGAGGCTGGCTCGTGGGGCAACCTGCCTGGATAGATTAGGGTTGCCTTCGATTTAGAAAATTAGGCGTATGTAAGCGGAATGTTTTGCCTTATTTCATGAATAAATTAATTAAAAAAAACATTTCAAATACCCATACAAGCTGAGAAATAAATGGATATACTAATAAAAATGCTTCGCAAACAAACTTCATAGACATTTTTGTCAAAAAATTGCTCCGACCAGCTTGTAATCATATGGTACGATAATGATACGAAGAGTTTCAAGCGGAATCTTTCAACCAAGAAAAGTATACTTTATACTACCTATGATATGACATGCAACTCCTTTAATGACATAACCAACTCCTTTTGATTCTAATTTATCATATTAATATGGATATTGATAATCTAGAACTCAAAAAAAATCCATCTTCAACTAAAAAGTATTCCAAAATCAATTTGCAAAGCCTTTGAAATTCTCTAACTTACAAAATATATCAGGATTAAGTTTACAAAGCCTTCTAAAGTTTACCCAATTGTAAGGAATCATAGTGACATGCACAACGGAAAATTTAAAAATTTTTTATTTCTCTAGTAGGTCAACATTTGATTAAATCCATGTAATATAAAGTTGTTCAAGAAAATTACCTCAATCCATGGAGATCTACTTGAACCGGTGGAGATCTGACACTGAGGGGCAAAGTGATCCATGTAACCACACAAGTGTCTGGGCTCTAACGGTGATCCACACGAACCCCCTTAACTAGAACCTCCTTAAGCTCGATTAGTTGTAGCTATTGCCAAGACTGTGACGACCCACCTCCTCCTAAGGCGAACCAAAGTGTTCAGCGAACCGCCTACTCAACTCTTGCCAGGACTCGATACAATTTAATTCAAACTTAAGGATAACAACCGAATAATAAAAGTCGAAATGAAGAAAAGTCGCTTCCTTAAATAAATATTCAAATCTTACAACACAGGTTCTCAAAAGTACATCACTTTTCCCAAAATTTTCAATTACTCGAAGTCGGCTAATCAAATACAACCCAAAATACTAAGCAAAAATAGTCAAACCGGCTTCTCCAAAATTCTTTCCATTCCGAGTTCCTGTTAAGGAAAACAAAGCTAATGGGATGAGCTAATGCTCAGTGAGGCCAAGAAAACATGCAAACACATAGTTCAAGTAACAAACACTTGTATGAGAAATAAAGCTATAGCATTCAAGTAATTCACGATTAACAATTAAACACACTTGAGTAGGATACAGGAGCTCTCAGGAGCTAATTTCCAATTGCTTTGCCTAAGTTCGATCCAATGCCTCCACGTGGTGACATTCCGTCAACCAGGTAGGTATTTAATTCTGTAGAACTTTACTTACTCTATTTATGGTTCTGAGTCGACATGAGGGGTACCTCCCACCCGAATCGGTGTGGTACATGCTACCGCTCAGAGAAATAAATGGTTGATGAGACATCGCTCCAATCGACTTATACTTTGATTATGGTTCTGAGTCGACATGAGAGGTACCTCCCACCCGAATCAGTGTGGTACATGCTATCACTCAGGGAATTGATTATACATTTATGGTTCTGAGTCAACAAGAGAGGTACCTCCCACCCAAATTGGTGTGATACATACTATCGCTCAGGGAACCGATTACAATTGTTTATGGTACTCAGTCGACATGAGAGGTACCTCCCACCCGAATCGGTGTAGTACATGCTTTCGCTCAGAAAACTGATTATTTGTTTAGGATTTTAAGTCAACATGAGAGGTACCTCCCACCCAAATTGGTGTGGTACATGCTATCGCTCAGGGAAGCGATTATAGCACTGAGACGGTATGAGAGGCACCTCCCACCTAGATTGGTGTGGTACATGCATCCACTCAGGGCTTACGAGTTAAATATGTTTATGAACAATTACCGATCATGTGTATTCATGTAACAAGTATCGCATAATTAAAAGAAAGAGAGGACGAGGGCGTCCCCAAGAGTATACACATAAGTCGAGGAGGTTCACTCCACTCGACATCACAACACAAATATGGTTTGCAATAGCAACACTTCACTTAATTCACATAAAAATTCATTTCACACAATTCGAATATCAATTCACATAGCACAATTCAATTGTAGCATCACTTAAAGGAGAACGAGCGCGATAAAGTCCATACTCATCTCGACAAGTTTACGTATCATGTATAATACTTGTACAATTCATATTTCAATCACATAAACATTTAACATGCACTTGACACTCACCAATCAAAGTAAGGGAGTAAGTGCTCAAACAAGCGTTTAGGCGTCCATTTCGAGATCCTCTTGAAGGTCCCCTTAAGCGCCTGAGCAAATAATAATTGACTATCACACACTATTACTTACAAACCCCTTTGCTAACAAGGAAGATTATACACTTGTACAATACTAAGAAAATGTCACGGAAGAGGGCCTTAACTACTCGTAAATCGAGACTCAAAAGTGGGGTTTAGTAATACAAAGAAAACTGATTTCCTTCATGAAATCAAGTTTAAAATGGTCAATCAATATCAAAGGATAGGGAAGAGTTTCCAAAAACTCATTTCCCAACAAGTCGGAAAATTTCAGTTTTACGCGTCAAATTTAGAAAAATCAGAACTTGCACTCAGTAGGTCCAAAATTGGAAAACTTTAAACCATTGGAATCTTGGTTCAGAATACTAAAAGTTCCTAGAAGACACTTTTCTAAGATTCTAAACGGAAGACATTCAAATTTTAGTTCAAAGTGGCTGACTTGAGCATACAAGACAGTTTCGGTCATGTTTTTCGGCAAACTTTGGAAATTCGGCAAAATTCACAGAAAGTTAACTAGCCTCTGAAATTTCTAACACAACAAAAGTTCCAAACAGGGTTTTGAACATGACAAACGGAACTAAATTTGGAATCTTGAGTATCAAGATATAGCAGTTCAAAGTCGGTAAATTTCCACTACTAAACAGTGAATTTTCCAGATTTGAAAGTAAAGTTTGGGACATCATTTGGGTATCAAAATGGTTTTAGAATAACACCAAATTTGGTAAAATTCAAATTCCATATGAGAAATACTCCTCTATCAAATTTTACGTAAAAAATCGTATGGGAAGGTAGTTAACAAAACTACCAAAGTTTAGGAAATTCTTAAAGCAAATCTGTCTTCTTGTTTTCTTTTCCTTTTTCAAACACTTTGCACCATGAAATCAGTCTCATTTTGGTTCATTTGTGAAACCAAGGTCCAAGAAACATTTCATAAGCAATTGATAGTGGGTTGACATCAAAATTTCGAAATAAAACATCTCACAAACAACTAAACCAGTCGGCCAGCAAAAGGAAGGGTTTTCCAGCTTTGCCGCAGTTTGGAAATTGAACCATATTTCACTCAATACAACTTGGAATTGAGAATGGTTGGTGACATTGGAAACTAGAATCATAAGGCTACATTTCATCAGAAAAAAATTGTTTTCAAAATCAATTCATAAGTGAGAGAACATAGAGCCACAAAATGCAGCTTCTACCTTTCTCTCGGTTAGACCATCAAAACAGGACAGCAACTTTGCCGAATCACTACGGCTCACTCATTTCGAACTAGAAAGTGAATTTTATACCGTTGGAAAGCTACAAATGTCTAGTTTCAAATGCCACAAATGGTACTTTGATTTTTACTTTTTTACAAAGAGTTATGTTTGATCAAAGTGGTACTGTTCAGACTGCCTGAACACATTTTCCAGGTTTCTTCAATTTTCGAAATCTCAAATTTTGCTCAACCAATTCAAATGATTTTTGGTAGAAACTTTCTACACACCATATACAACATATATACATCAGTTTCATAGTCATTTGAGCACAAAATTTTGAAATATAAGCAAGGCAATAACAGGATAAATTCGGCCAGCATTCCTGCGCAATTTTCTTTTGGTATTTCCTTCATTTCTCACCATGATCTTTTCATCTACACACATAACAATCATATTCAAGCAATTGCACCTCAAGCCAGCTTGTCGCGCTCCATTTTTTACAAGAAAAATAAATAAATGGTTTGAAAAGTGAATTTTTGATTTGAAAAATGATTTTTGATTTACAAAGAAAGTGGGTCTAAATGGGACTTGAAAATGCGACGATTTGACCCAAAATATAGTTTAAAAAGGGTTTTTGAAATAAAAATCGGAGTCGCCACTTGATATAGAGTTAAGGTGTACCAAATCACGTAAAAATGAATTTTTTAAAGGAAGAAGATAGAAAAGAAACCCCTTTTAAACGACTCCTAATCTACGTAAACCAACGAAAAAGGTTCGGGAGTCACATTTGACGAAGGGGAAGGCAAGGATGAAATCCAAGGCACCCCTTCGACCTAGCCAAGGCTAGTTGCGTGATTTAGTCAAAGATTATCTTGTTTTAACCAAAGCATTTATCACATTTGGATACACTATATGAATGCAAAACCTAGACCTAAGGGGACATCGGGGGGCAAAATTTCTCTTCAAAGATCGAATGGTGCCAATCACATTAATTGTGATGCCCAATAATGACTCTTTGGAGAGGTCACGAATAATGCAAAAATATAGACTCTAAGAAAAGAAAAGGAATAAAATAATTATAGAAATATACATGTCTTAAAGGAATGCATCATGTCGGGTACAGGGGACTAATGTTCGTGACTCAATTTTCCCTTTTAATAGAGGGAATACGAGCGTGCTAAGGCTAGAAAAGCCAAACTCGTCCATATCCCATATCCAAGGGGTTTTCCCTAATCTAATCAAGCAAATGAACTAACCTAGTTCTAATGCTTATATGAAATGCAAGTCTAATGCCATGTTTCATACAAAAGGGGCAAGTAATATACACATAAGGGACAATATAGGGGAAGGG